TAGTTCGTTACACTAGAACCCCGCCTTACGGCCGGTCAACTCGTTAATACGTTCACCTCGATTTTTTTTTGTCCCGGTGGAATGCCCATACATTTTCTTATAAGAAAAAACGTTAATACGGCTAACGACCCTACATTCTGAAATCTCAACCTGTATAATCCTCTAAAAATTTACCCCGTTAATACGGCNAATAACCCATATATATTATACAAACTAACAGACAAACTAAGGTGAAACTATGTTTACCCTTTTGTAAGTTGGTGTAGGTGGCTGATAGGTCAAAACAAATAATTAGTGAAAACACTTCTAAAAGATCTCAGTGACCTGAAATGTTGCCCACCCTTCAATGGTATTGAATCAGAGGAGTTCTAGTTTCAAATTTTGCTGACGTTCCTTCAAGTTGTCAATTTTCCCTGACTTGTTATCATTTTATTTTCCCTATTTCCTAACCTGTGACAACCCCTGTAATGTGAGTAACTAAGAACAAACACATGGCAAAGATGTATCTGAAATCCTTATCTCATTTATTGATATGAGGATTCATGCGATGAATGTGTCGATGATTTATCAGAATAATTTTTATGCTGCATAAAATAAAGATGGAAAACAACTTTAAAAATGCCTAACTAAAAAATTCATTAATAAGCTAAACAATTATACACTGCACTTGCTAAAATTCATAAAACCTATCTAATGAATTATTATTACATTAATAAATAAGCCATTGCCTAAAATATAATACAAATTTTAAAAGCTTAAACCTATGTCAGAGTCTTCTAACTCGGTCTTTACTTGATTTACTCCCAACAATGTTCTTGTTGGGTTTTTTCGATCGTAGCCTTTGATCAGTTCTTTCAGAGGGAACAAATACAAGTCCATCACATGAGTCCCCATTCTGATGATGTTCACTATTTCTAAGGCAAAGTGAGCAGAATCTCAGTCCACATTTTTGACACTGGGAATGACCCTCTTGTGTTTTTGACAAGCTGGAAGGAGATGTACACTTTGGGCATGGTCGAAGTTTAACCATCGCCTGACTTGATATTGGATGAGGACACACAGACGTCATAGGAGAGTTGTCAACCTGATCGCCACTTTCTTTGCGAGGTATGTTAACATTGACACTTTTAAGTGGCAGTTTTGACAGAGTTTTGACCAAAATTGTTTTGTTGCCATGGTTTTCCTGTGGGGAGAATAATAATAATGTACTGTTAAATTTCCATATCAAGCCACAGGCCTATGTTTATCCCCTGATTTTGAAAACTGTTTCATTTTTCTCCCAGTGAACCTTTCTAAAGCTCCATGTACTGTATTTCCTTGATCAACACCACCAGCATCTATTTTAAACTTGATCTGGTGGACCCAGGGTTTATTTGATGCCTACAGCTTACTAGAAACTATGTTTATTAAGCAAGGTTTCTATAATGCAATCATTATTTTGGCAGCCATACAGTACATTCAGACATTATAAGTAAAATATGATTGTACCTTGGCGACCTGGAATTTATTAAGGGCCGAGTGGCTAATCAAGAAAAATGGTAAAAGTCTGCATACAAGCCAAGTGGCCCATCAGGCCAGTGCTTATTTCTGGTTTCAGCAGCATGAAGCAACTAGAAGTATTTCTACTCCCCCCTGGATGGGAAGTTAGTCCACTGCAGGGTTACCCCCAGCATTCAATTCACCGGTACCCATTTATACACCTGGGTGGAGAGAGGCACTGTGAGAGGTAAGTGTGTTGCCCAAGAACACAACACAATGTCCCTGGCCAGGCCTCGAACCCAAACCGCTCGATCAAGAGGCGAACACACTAACCATGGGGCAACCATGAAAATAAGGTGTTATTTAATAAGATTTCAAATGGTATACATGTGTACTGTGATTGGCCAATGTGCTTCCCAGATAGACTATTTTCTTTTTCTTTTTTCCTGTCAATTTTAATTTTATGGCCAGTTATCAGTAAGCTATCACAAGTTGGGAAATAGCAAATCTATTTATAGGGGACAATGGCAGTGTTTGTTAACATAAAAAGTTAGTTAACCAAAAATAATCGAGTTCGTGAAAGTGTCCGCTGCCTACCTTTCCCTTGAGATAATAATATTCCTTGCGTTCTCCTAGGAATTCCTTCCACCTTTGTTGTGTTGCGGTGTCTTGTTTGACAAAATTCCTCCATTTTGAGCTCACAGAAGCAAATCTAAACACAGAAAAAATACAGGGAATGTCAAGGAAACATTATTAGCTGCAAAAGAACCTCGCCGCAAATCGATGTTCAAATCGATCGGCGAGCTAAATCTTAACTTACAGATTAACTCAATTATTGTTATTAGCAATCAAAAGCTTGATTTATTCAAGTTTGATTTCAAAGAGACAGCCAAGGAATCAGGATATAAACATACCTGCAAAGGTCCAGAGGCTCTAGATAACTGCAAATTGTTTGGCAAATCTTATTGCAGTTAACCGCCATTAGATCTGAGATGACATCGACGCAATTTTTCCCGATGAGTCTTCCAATGATCTTGTCCTCTGGCAACAAAGGCGATCGTTGAGGACTTTGCTTCGTGGATTCATCCTGATCGCCGTCATCAAGCTCAAACTTGAGCTTAGGCAATCCATCTAGAGCAAGTGATTGAAACTGAGGGCTGCAAGCTTTTTCTTGAGAGCACGGTGGAGTAAGGAAAACAGACGATGGCGAGGTTTCGAATGAAGGAGTCATGCGGCCAGTGTTGATGCGACTAAGAAGTTGATCTCCTGGCGATTCTGGCGTCAAAAAACAACTCGGCAGCTCAGGCTGACTGCTTTTCTTCTTATGATGTCTATCTGTTTGCTCCATGGCTACTTTGAATTATGGTAGATCTGCCGCAGAGTCAAAGATCACGTTCGTTTCTCGATCTTTGTTGTGTGTTGACGACTGACGCTTGGTCAAAACGTTTTGATTCAACCGCCAAATAGCGAATACAATGTGACAGCCAATCACAGCTTCATATTTTTTTCCCGCCAAAATAGCATTTTTGAGAGCGAAACCGCTGCTTTGGTTCGGCCGTCCTTGGACCCTTTCCTTGCTCGGCCGAAGGCCTCTCCAAACATGAAAAATTTCCACTGTTTTCCACTGACGTACAAGGGAAACAATAATTACGTTTCTGTGCGATCAAAGGCAGAAAACGATAGAACTGCTGAACACATAAGCGAATCTTTGCTGAGGTCACTGTTTACATTTTTCCTTATTTACGTACGACATTGCGCAGCCGGAAGGCATTGCAAACATGTAAAGAGTTTGAAACTTAGTAATTGGTGAAAATTTTTGCCTCTTTGGGTGTAATATTTGAGAAGAAATTGGCTTTCAAAACCTGCAAAACTTCTGGACAACTGGCACTAATGAGCTCGTATCTTAACTCTTTGTAAAATTTTGAGTTTTTAAGCCCACATTGCACAAAAAGCATTCGATCTGATTCGATACGTCGGGCTCAAATTCCTTGGGACAGTTAATCGTACTCAGTTTCAGAACTAATGTTTTTGTAACTCCATCAGAAACCTTATCGCTTATGCAGAAACGACTGCAGAAACCGTATCGCTTATGCTAATGACGGAAACGTTATAAACAAAGACTACCGCTCGGGCCGCGCTTGCCGATCTATTCGGTGTCTTTCAAAAGATGCGAACCCATGTTCTTTCTATTCTAGTGCGAGTCCTCTTCCTATTTTGGGAACTGACCCTTCACGCTTACGGGTCAGAGCCTAACTCAGTACTTAAGGGCACTTCAGGAGTCACAGTAAATGAATTTCTACAGTTTCTTAGTAATTAACAGCTGCAGAAACACGTACTGAGGTCTTGAGTTAGCCTGCGTAGCTTGGCGGTTTTTAAGCAAGTAGCGTGCTAAGAAAGCGAAGAAGCCGCGATAACGAGCGCTAAAGCCGCATTATTAAACGAACTCAAACTGCTTAAAAAATTGCTTAAGCCGCCAAGCTACGACGGCTAGCCTCCCGAGTCCAGTGACCCTTAAGTCTTAAAATAAATAAATAAATAAATAAATGAATAAATAATAAACAAATAAACCGCGTCATCTCTACGCTACGCTACAATGCAGGGTCCCCGTGGGTTTTGCTTTCTTGCCAACCTAACGCCTTTTAAGGTTATATTAGCCATCATTCTTTCTTTAACAAATAAAGAAGCCTAAGCCATGTATCACACTGTGATAACACACGACGGGCATTTGAGAACACGAGTGAAATGTAGATAACACGAGCCGCTGGCGAGTGTTTTCTCAATTTCTCGAGTTTTCTCAAATGGCCGGAGTGTTTTATCACTTCATTTGCTTTATGATATAGATTTTACAAGCCGCGAGTAGAAACAGCAAAGCACACACAGATCGACAAACTGACACAAATTAATACCTAGCCTGCGAAAAGGCTAGCTGTCCCCGCTCCGATCGCTTTGCTTTCCGAATTCTTCTGTTTCGCGCTCGCCGAAATTTTTTTCCGTCCTCGCAGGAAGCCTGTTCGCAGGCTATTTAAGGTCATTCCCCAGAATTGCATTGCGCATCCCTACTGCGCATAATTTCACGCGTGATTAGCGCGCACGCATTAAAAAATGGCGGCTTTTTGTTTACAGNCAATCGTCGGAAACGTGAATTTAGTAAGCAATCGTGACTACAATCATGGTGCTATTATAAGGATTTATATGGGTATAAACGAGGTGCTGTTGCTTCTAAACGAACATGGGGACCCCTCATTTTTATTTCAAAATTTAAGTTCCTATAATACAAACAATCAACAGGCAAAGTTTCACAAAAATCTCAGTGCAGGTTCTATTTCAGTGGAATGACCTTAATACCACTTTAAGTGCCACTAACTCCCAATTTTTTTTTCCTTAAATAAAATCTACTAGTTTTCCTGATTACTTCAGCGAAAAAATTATCTCGATTGATAAAATCCCTGCGTTTCTACAGGCATTTAAACATGTCTCGTCTTCAAAACTTTCTGCTGCTTCGCAGAGAGAAATTTCTTCAAAAATGTCTTTCGCCATCTCTAACAAAAATATTGACTAGAGGTATTGTGGCCAAAAACAAAACACGATTTGTCTGTTTTACTCTCACTGATAAAACATGGGTGACCAATCAGAGCGCGCGCAAGCTCCTATCTATGTAATGCACCTATCAATGTAAAGCCGTTGGGGGGGGGNGGGGATTTGAACTCCGATCATCTTTTCAGTTCAAATGCGCGACCCCACGGAGATTAACCTTGGTCAAAAGAGTGCAAATTCCCCATCCCAGGGATGTTAGTGTTGTTCAGAAGAATGCAAATTCTCCACCTCTACCTAGAAACAGGTGTAAGTCTGTCAGAAAAAGAATTAAACATCAAAAAGTTGTAAATAAAAGGCTACAAAGCAACAAATTCAAAATGCAACGTCTGTTTAACATAGAAATGTCATCTAATTTATATTAAAATTGTGACGACTGCCTAAACTTATACCACTAAACAAGACTGAAAACATGGAAATTCTTATCACGACTAATGTCCTACACCATTGTGACATTTTAATTACTTGCATTTTAAACAGAAACGATGGAAATAAAATATTAACCTCTATCTGTAGCAGAGAAATATGAAAAAAAGCCCCATGCGAGGACTCAAGATCCTCGATGTATTCACTAATTCCAGAAGCATATCATGCTTCTGCTAATTCATAATAATCTGCACATGGTAGGTTCATAAAGATGGAGTTCAATAATTCAATTTCGTTTTAGTACTATAAAAATTATAACCATGCTTAGAGACATGCATTGCAAATTCAATGAATGTATGAAGGTGAATACAGAACACTATCCTGTAAAATTTAAAATTAAAAACAGTCTTACGTTTATATGTAGGATTCGGAAATTTGTTTCCATACACAACTTTCAAAATTCAAATCAATGATGTTTAGCAATGGAGTTAACCTTTAACTAAGGAAAAACTAAGCCAGAGATCTTGTTTACAGAATGTCTGCAACAATGTTCAGTTCAACACCAAACTTCTAAGCATGCTAAGATGGCGGATATCCAAGGTGGCGGATATCCAAGATGGTGTCGGTACTCCCAGTCTACTAACGGTTGAAGTCAAAAGTTCCGACCCTCGGGACACGGCGAATGATCAAAAGTCCCAGCCACGGGCAGACTTGTTACGTCAAAACCCCCGCCTATGCCCGGCCTCCCCCCAAGCGGTTTAACATTGATAGGTGCATAAAAAGGTTATATTCTCTACTTTGGTCTTACTTTGCACTGGTAAAAACAACAAATTCAACACAAGCCATGAAATGCTACAAGAAAAGTCCATTGAAAACTCTCGGGAGCTCATGCACATTATCCCGGAAAAATATGACGTTTTCGGCCCATGAGCTCACGTAGGGGAAAGTGACTGGTTTTCTCGGGTCCGAAAACCGGGAGACCACGTTCTTAGGAGATTTAGAATTCACTGAGACAATTGAGAGAGGAATCATTGTGACCAGGTTCAAAGATTTCTGTATCGTACAAAGGTGCATTTTTACGGTCTGGGTGGAGAACGATGATGAATCTCAGTTGTCAGTTAATCCTGACGATTTCTCAATCACAAACCACAACGTTTTTCACCAGAATGATCAAAATAACTTTATTGGATCACTCTGAAATAACTCGTCAAATCCATGGTAAAATTAACATAAAGGGTTGTGTTCAAAGTCCTGTCCGGTAGAAGTGAATCTTAGTTACACGGGCACACTTCAGTTCTTCATCTCTGCACTCTTTTCCTTGGCACTGTGGGCGCGCAGCACAGACACTGCCTCCTGAGTTTTGGCTGCCAGGGCCTCCCGAGACTCCAACATGTGCAACAGCTCGGTATTGTCAATCTCCAGCAGCATTCCAGTGATCTTACCGGCCTGGTCAGGGTGCATGGCTTGGATCATGGGGAACAAGCGTTCACCTAACATCTGTTTCTGTTCTTGTAGTGGGGCTGCTGCAAGGACACTGGGGTTAAGGGGATCCTGTCCCTAAAACGAAGAATAACATTCTATTATGACACATGCTGGGCTTTTTGCCTCTGCCTGCCTTCTTCAGTCTCGGAAAACTGTTCACTTTTCGGAACAGATAATGTCCACAGACAAATATCTGAGCATATGAATGGTTTTTCACAAAGACTCGTTTTGACACAGAGGCAAAAGGCAACTCGGAAATGGCCTATTATATGCCTGTTTGTGTTTGAGAACACCCAAATGCAACCAGGAAGCTCTGTTAGTGTACCAATCACTGTTCACAAAATTGAAGCAATTTCACTCACAGGTATTTGAATGGTCTGCTGCACCTGCTCTTGAGGCTGCATGGGCACTGCTCCAGGATGTCCTTGTGCAGGCTGGTTACGTACATTCTGCTGAAACTTGTAGGCTGGTCTCTGACCTTGTCCCTGCATGGCTCCAGGACCACGAACTTGTGCTTGGCCCATACCACCCACTCTCTGGCTAGGACCCCCTGCACCTCCTGGCTGCTGCTGTCCTGGCACACCCCGAGGTGGAACCTGACGGATGCCTCTTGCACGTGGAACCTGTCCGGCACCTGGTATTCCCTGCATTCCTGGGGGTCGCACCTGCTGCTGAGAGTGCATGGGCTGCCAACGAGGACGGACTTGCGGCATTTGGGGTGTGAAGAATGGGCGCTGTCCAGCCTTTGACAGAAAAGATATCATCAGCTCATTCTCAACCTTTTAACAGCTGGAACTAACAAAACTATTTTCTCTGGACACACTTCCTAGGCTACGGATTTCACTGCAAAAAAGTTCAAAATTTTTATTTACCGTCAAACATCCCCCGAAAGCCAAAAGCCTGTATTTTTCTTCTGAAATGTGTCAAATCCTACAATTTACTCTGATTGAAAACTCCAATGCAACGGTCTGCTTTCTACAACAGCCAGTAAATTTTGCTCAAGAGTGAATGCTCTATAGAGGTTTTATAACTGTCTGGTAGGGCAGATTACATGTGAAGTACATCCAATAACCTTTGCATTGACTGTTTTGTTTGTTATTATTAACAAAGTCGAGCAGTGAATTCATCTAATTTTAATTGTTATGGCTCTCAACCGAAAAATCTTTTTAAGGCTGCAACTATTCAAGGAAATCTATACTGCCCTATCAGCAGTCACTTTGTATGTTAGAAGTGAAAAGTGAAAAAAAAAATAACCTACCACTTACTGGCATTTTACAATACATATCTTACCTGTGCCAAAGGCTGCATGTAGAAGGCACCTGCTTGAGGGAACACTTGACCAACTTGTTGACCAGCCGCCTACAACAAAGGGGTAAGAACGGCATTAACCTACTGTACTGTACAATAAAAAAATAATTAGCAAATACCGGCTACGTTCCAAAACAAATCTTCATGCACCTTCACTTGGAACTGTCACTACTTCAACCATGTGTGTGCCAAACTTTTGTCAGATTTCTGTGTCATTAATGATCAGCTCTCAAACATTCACTCATCCTCATCGGTCCCCAAGAGGACTCTTGAGGCAGAACTAATGATCAGCTCTAGGCCATTCTATATTGTAATGCACATTGATGTTGCTATGTTTACTAGCCAGTAAAACACTGATACATGCATTAGGCAATGTTCCTGCATTCAAACTGAGAGTGCTAGAGTAACAAAGCAATCTACTGTAAAAGAGCAGGACTACTTTCTGCCCTCTATCAACTGTGTGTACCCAATTACTAATGCTCTAGGCACAACAGAAACCACTGGGCATTAAGCAGCAATCTAAACTGACTCTGCAAAAGATTCTCTAAGCAATATAAAAAAGCGAATTGTAAGAATAATTTGCAATCATATGTGAAATAAAGAACTGCATTGTAAAAAGGTAAACTTTGATATTGTCCCACCCAAATTGAAAGAACATCAGTTGCAAAATAAAAAAAAAAACTGGGATTGTGGAAGTATCTGTACTCTACAGCTATTTTGAGAAAGGTTGTCCAGCAAAATCATAAAAGCATACACAAGAAAGCCACAAGGAATTTGGTTTGAGTCAGTCACCTTTTGACTGATCAAAATTCACTTGTTTTAGCCTGATAGAGGGAGAAAGAACTTATACTTGCATTCATAGTTTCAACTTCCTTTCGTGGACTTTGATGAAGCAACAAACTAGTGGACTTTTTCCTTTGCTTGCCCGACTGGCAAGTGAAGTTTATTTGAGGAAAATGCCCTGACAATGTCACAACGAAGAAAATGAGAAAATTGAGGGACTACTGAGAGCGACTTTCACGCTTGTTCATCACAGTTGCAGTTTGCTCAAAAAGCAAGTTTGAAAACAGGTTTTCTTTGCCTGCTGCATACCTGTTGCATTCTCAATCCAGCAATGCGCTGCATGTGTTGAGCAGCAAGCTGGGCCTTACGCTCTTCCTTCCGCTGGGCCAGAGCTACATACAATGGCTTGGACACTAAAATCCGGCCATTCATCTCAGTAACAGCTTTAGTGGCCTCCTCTGGTGATGAGAAACACACAAAACCAAAACCTGCAATGGAGAGAGAAACAAGCAACTGTGATCCTTGATATTTTGAATGCGGAATATTGGACACAAACTGCACAACCACATTAACTCAATAGTATTGCTGGTCTAAAGCTTCAGAATGCAAAGTTCAAGCAGTCATGTACTAGAGAAAAACAACAGAATTTTACAACAAAAGGTCGACATTTCCTAGGGCTTGGTACCATACCTTTAGAGTTGTTCTTGTCATCCATCATAACCTTGGCACTGGTAATAGTTCCATAAGCACTGAATTCCTCACGAAGGCGTGCATCATCAATGGTATCATCCAAGTTCTTCACATACAGGTTGACACCCTGGTAACGATTGATGCGCTCGATCTTCCTCTTTTCAAACTGAGACTTCAGATCCATCTGCCTCTCTGCCCTTTTCTGTGCTCGAGCAGCATAAAGCTTTTGTCCATTCCAATCCTTTCCAGAGAGTTCTTCCACAGCCTATAAAGATTTGCTGTTTGTTAGCTGACTGTAAATTTAGAGATTTTCTTTTATTTTGTCAAACCCCTTTTGGTGAAGTATTTCAGAAATACTGTTTTAAAGTTATTTACTTCAAGATGATATTAAGTTTGGAGAATTGATCAAAGCGTACATCACAAACTGTGTTAAGTTACAATCAAGGTACCACCTGTGGAAAATGCTGTATTTTACACAAATACCAATCTGCCATGAACGACTGGTATTTTTAACTTTCACAGATTTCACAAAAATTTAAACTCTCTGGACCTTCTAAACAATATTTCCGAGAACAGTTCACCAATAGAGTCTATTTGACAAAATAAAAGAAACTTGAAACGTTTGGTCCTTTTGTGGAGATTCTCCATTTTTACAGGCAGACGCTCTTAAACAAGTGACAAACAGATCACATGACCAGACAGGCTAGAACAACAACTACCGTTGCTTGCATCCAAGCGTGAACACGTGACCCCGAAACAAGCTCTAATTGGGTGTCGAACGTGGCATGATTGGTCACCAAACATTTGAAGTTTAGCAGACCATGGCACAAACTTTCATGCTCAAAGTTCAGCACATGAAATGGCAGAAAGATTGGACATTATAGACTTCTTCAGAGAAATTGGCCCTGACCTGTGTCAATATGCATAAGCCTTTCGCCAAAGTGGTATTACTTCTAGTATAACCATGAAATATTGGCAGGAGCAAGACTTTCAGAGTCTTTCAGAGCACGAAAGTTTGTGTTATGGTCTGCTAAACTTCAAATGTTTGATGACCAATCATGCCACGTTTGACACCCAATTAGGGCATGTTTCGGCGTCAGGTGTTCACACTTAGATGCAAGCGACGGTAGCATGCATGTTATTCAAAACACTAACTGTTGTAAGGCAAAGCCTTGACTTCCAATGTGACAAACACTGACATAGCCCACTGATACACCAAATCAGGGACTTCGTAAAAGTTTTCAGCAAGAGGGCAACTGGTTTTCTCAGGCAGACAAAACTTGAACAGGCAAAACTGAACTTTTTATCAGAAAAAAAAAAAAAACCTTCCTCTGGGTGGTCAAACCAGGCGATCATCCTTACAGGCGGTCAATATGCCCAGTGCCCAGCCCTAATGAAACCACTGCTAAAATTAATAGCTATTTGTTCAGAGTGGAAGTTAAAAGCAGCCAAGATGTTAAACTGTGTCTGCCTGCCTACCTGCTGAGCTTCCTCTGGTGTCTCAAATGAAACAAATCCAAATCCCTTTGAACGTCCCTGATCAGACGTCACCACCTTCAGACTCAGAACTTTACCAAAGGAATCAACGAGCTCTTTGAAATCTGCCTCAGTCATCTCCTCACCAAAATTCTTCACATACACATTGGTGAACTTCTTCGGTTGGTTTCCAAGCTGTTCTAGACGCTCTCTTCGAGACATCCACTTAGTAGCAAATCTACAACAAATAAATTTGACATACATTTTAACACAAGTTTTCTCACCAAGTAGAACAATAAATGGCATCCCCAGGTACAGATAAATACTGGTTTCCACCACTTAACAGAAATCAGTCAGATTTTTCAGAATGACTCAGAAATCCGGGAAAGACTACTGCAGGGAGTTTAAATCAAAAACATCTCCTGGGGGACCTTAGACCCCTCTAAAAGCTTGCTCCTTTGGTGTGCTGTTTCGTTAACTGGCCATCATTTATCCTAGATCCACGCCGGATACTCGTCATGAAATAAACGCAAACCCCATTTTGGAGACCAGATCAGTGAATTTTTTGTATAGATCAAAAAGATGGAAAGAAATGTTTAAGATCCTAAATCTCACAGTCTTCACTTCCATTCTCTAAGATCCTCACAGAGCATTGTTGGGGTTGTCATAAAGGTTTGAGATACACAGTGTTATCAATGGAGTAAGCAGCTGATTTTGCCAATTTTTCTCAAACCATTCAGGCTAACAGAGTAGCTGACCGAGAGCCCCTACACTGTGTTATTTATGCCTATTGTCCTGACTTCAATTACGTCGGAGACAAAAGAACCCAAATGAATCTACCTTTCTACTTTCAATTGAACAAGGAACGCACCCACTGGAATACCACAATATTTTTGCCTTTTCTTGTGGCCCATGCATTTCATTTCCCAAAATTATCTCTTCAGAAAATGAACATAGTGGTGAAGTTCAGACCACTCCAGGCAACAAAAGACGGGTTGAAATGTTCCGAGATCTTTGTAAAGGAATGTGTCAAGTATCCCTGTAGAAGTAAAGAGGGATAGTACACCAGATGGCTATCAAAGGGAGGGTTCAATTCTGACTCAAGTCAAGGCATGGGCAATGGGCATGATCTGCTGTGTGATACGAAAACGAAAAAAAATCCTAATAACCGTTTTTCCCTATGTTTACTTCCAAAACCCAACCAATTACCCGTACATGGTTCTTGTGTATTTATGCTACGTATATAGGATGAAATTTTACAGATTAAAAGCAATGTTCCCGGTACGTGACTATGTTTAAATGCCTTGGATAGTTTTTACCCTTCAACGATGCGTTACGATCACCTTACGCAACGACAGATTTACTACACATGTGCGTTCGTGATTGTTGCTAAATTCCGGGTAAATTGCACTCTTGCCATAAATAACACTCAACCAACCCCTTAAACGAAGATAAACGAAGATTAAACGAGGAAATATCAAGTATTCCACTTACACTTTTTTGTCGTTCAGCAACATGCCGTTCACCTTTCGAATGGCGTTTTCGGCTGCCTCTTCGGTGTCAAAATGGACAAAACCGTATCCCTTCGAATTCCCCTCTTCGTCTTGAGCAATTTTACAAGATAGGATGTTACCGAAGGCACTGAAGGTGTCGTACAGGGCCTTGTTGTCAATACTTTTGTCTAAATTCTTGATGAAGATGTTCCCAACACCAGATTTGCGAAGGGAAGGATCTCTCTGAGACCACATGATTCGACATGGCCGTCCTTTGATAGGATCGAAATTCATCGTATCCAAGGCTCTTTCCGCTACGGAAAAAACATCAAGACACTAGCATTTAACATACACAATAACCTAACTCTAGAGGTTCTATTTAAGACGAATTAAAACGGCTTTTTCCTTACCAGCAGCCGGTTGCTGAAAGTTCACGTAAGCATAACCCAGCGAGCGGCGAGTTACAATATCACGGCAAACTCTGATGGACAAAACAGCACCGACTGTGCTGAATTTCTCAAACAGCATCGCTTCGGTGACATCAGCTGCCAAATCACCAACGTACAGAGACGCTATGGGATAGTTTGGTGCGCCAGGAGCAGGATTCATTTTCAAACTTCTTTGGGTTCACTTCGACTTGTGATGACGGTTCCTTAACTGGTTTCTTTAAATTTGGAAATTTTTTGAGGATTTTGTAATTTTTTTTGAAGATTTTCTCCGCTTTTAAACTTTTTTTGAGCCTTTTTTTACGTTTTACAAATTTTTTTGGCGGCTTTTAGCGTCGCTAAAGAAAAAGAACGCTAAAAAACCGTTGAAAATTCTTACAATAAATCGACACCGACAACGATTTCTCGAAGGTGAGAGGAAGTTTTGAGCCACGCGTTTCTATATGTATCCGTGGGGGCTCCCTCCGAGAGTAGCAGGGGTGACACCTCATTGGCCAGAATTAGGCCTATTACACTTCCGGTTACGTCATACCCGACACGTGCTTTGATTTGAACTTCCGGTTGAGGAGCATGCTTTTTTGGTAGTCTGCGTTTTTTTTTTTCGCGAATTCTCTTCCTCCTCCTCCACGCCCTCCCCTTTATACGCCTGATATGCAGGCTACTTTTTTGGTAACACTTCACCTCGCTTCTCTAAAAATCGTTGTCAAATAAACTGTACCTGTTATCCTTTCCGAATGTAGTCGTTTACTGTGTCAAATTTATATCTTTACACAAATGTGAAAGGAAAAAGATTTTGACAATTGCCTGCATGATTACAATTTTATACATGCTTTTTTGAGAGTTTTTGAAGGCCATCTTAATATAATCTTCACTAAAAATGTTAATTTCAAACAATACTTATGCCATATATTATTTGCACTCTAGTCCATTTTTGATAATTTTAATAAAGATTGTGCCAGGCATGAGCCTAAGTCAGACATCTTTCATCAGCATTAACCTGGAAATAGCTTCATTTTTTTTATTTTTTTTTATTTTTTTTTACAGTTAATAATTTATTAAAAAATGTATAACCTACCCCAGGGGAGGGGAAGGGTATTCTAATCTAAAAAGGACTGGGGTGTCCCTCATACCTTTCAGGGGTTAAAAAAGAAGTATTTCTTTGGTACCTCTTAGAGTGTTTGGCCTCAAAAGGTCCACAGAGAGAACTTTTGCGGTATTGGGCCAAAAATATGACAGGAGATAATGTGTTGTGAACTGGCACCTCTTAGGGGTGAAAAACATTTCAAGCCATGCCCACAAAGCAGGATCTTGATACCTCTTTGGGGTTTTTTTCAAAAATTCCGACAAGAACCCCTGTCCTTTTTATGAGTTCCCCCCCTCCCCCCCAGGGACCTTACTGGTACTAGCTATCATTTTCACTGAGTGATGCACAAACCAAGCCAATATTGAGAACAAGGGTTTTGATAACTTCTATCAATTTACAATCATAAAAAAAATTGCTTTTCATTCCAGTGGCTGCCATTTTGAATTTCTTAGAATAATTTGTAGGACTTGAAACTGTCCATGCAAATGATACCCCTCCTGCAACTAAGTGAACTCCCTCAGATCATCTCCTAGTCTAGCGAATACAGACCTAATCTCTTGGTCTCCTGCATGGATCACCAAATCTCCTGGATTCAAAGGAGAGTGTTTAAAGCACATATTTCCACACTATTTTTGCTGACTTAGGGACAATGTTAGGGGATATTTTTGCAGTTGAGTCAGCCAAACCCAATTTCATACACTACATTTTAGGGAGTTTAGAAGAGGCAAAATCGGCAACCCCCTGGAATTCAACTTTTTTAGGTTGGCATCTCTGCTCCTGATCGAAGTAAATTTTCTGGTTCAAGCCCTACCTCCAACCCAGTGGAAATTACAGATAGGCTTCATACTTTGCTTTGAAAATTTAAAATTGATCTTCCTTCCTTGAAATGAGTAAGTATCATCAGTCAAGAGAAATATTTTTCAATCAAAATCTAGAAAAAAAAATGTTATTTTATTTACAGCTGTTCTTTGAGTTCTTTATCCACAAATATTCAAGTAATGTAATATTTCTTTGCTTAGTCTTGCTTGTTCCTCTCTTGATATTTTTCTTCCAACTCCCTCCATGGATTTTCAACCATTGAATGTCTGTAGTAAGCTTCAATACTTGGTGAATCTTCTCTTCTGTTGCCATGACCTCTACCCTGTGAACATAAACAAAAACATAGACTTACATATAATTGTACAATTGTGAATGCAACATTGCATCATGCAGCACTAATCAATTATATAAGCTGGAAACCAACCCAAGTATTTCCCTGTGAGCCTTAGCTCTAGAAAGGAGATCAGTGATGACATGAGGTAAAAAAGAATTATTTTAACTCAGTGGAAACAAACCAATGACCTTCAGGTTAGATCACCTTTAAATTTACTCCACCAACTGAGCTATGAGGCTAGACCATTACAGAATTGCACCCGTTGAAAAATGTCACACGGGAAAATGCAGATGAGCAAAAAAGGAGACAGAGAGCAGGAATAAGGCCTGTCAATCACGTAATCCTCAGTGTAGGTCTTTTTCACAAGTATTGTCCTAGCTCTGACAGCTCAAATTTTTACTCTATTCATCAGAGAAGAATAAAACTAATAATTATTAGATGGTGTGCTTCATCAAATATAACGGTTACTTTATGCTGCCAATAAGCGGAGATGTGAGATAATATTTCAATGTTCTGGGGAAAATTTTTTCGTTTTCATTACTGTTACTCTTAATTTGTGAATTGATATTTTAAATCAAATGTGCACTTTATTTCAAAATCTTCTGGATAGTTTTAACGTACTTCGATTTATCTGAAATAGCCAGCATGCGTTGATCAGTTGTTTACATTCTACGCAAATTAATCAGCTGGCAGTGCGGGACTATGAAAGTTGAAAACACTTTTTAGGTAAGGGCATACCACCTACCGCAGTGTTTGCCAAATCTCGAGCAGAAACATTCCTTCTGTTGGCAAAAATGTTTGAACGGTAGAATATATATTAGCGAGAGGATGGTTACTGCTGTTAAGCAAAGACATGTTGGATCACATTTCAATTTTCAACGCTTCAGCAAATCG